TTGATTTTTATCGGCTACCCCTCTGTGGGATCTAATCAGATTTGTACTACTAGTTGAACTGCTGAACAAACATTCAACCCGCTGACTTTGACATCACGCTGTATGATGCCGTAAATTATTGACGGAAAGGTTGACACCAATATTCTTCATGAAGCCGGGTTGGCCCTGCCCGGGGGACACAGCGGTCCCATGGGGCCGGGAGCGTTCATAAGCCGGGCCGAACGTGTCCTTGCAGATCCGCAGCTTTTAGCCGGAGATAGATGTGAGCATCGATCGAAGATGAGACATGGGATAAGATGAAAGACGCGCTACTGAGCCGAACTGATGAGATACACGCACCCAGAAAAGTATATCTTCTTTCAGTCCATACAGATCTGTGTAACACCATCCAGTATCAAGAGTTTATGATCAGAAAACGTTGCCTAGGTTATTAGAAAGCGATTTGTATGTCGTTATATATATATACCTGCTTTTGATGTGATGTTGCCCGTTATATTTCAAACGTACGCTCGGTTTGTGTGACCGAGGGTGACCTTCCAAGTATTGGCATAAGATGTGCCAATATCACCATGAAAGGAAATAACATTGCGTTCTATATATCATGTAGGTACCGTTCCTGCAATGACAATGGTAGGGCCCACCGTTGAAGTAAATTGCTATTCTATTGAGACCCCTCCTGTACTCTGCCATGTGTCGAGCTAATTCTGCTGACACCTATAGCTAATGCTTCGTGCTTTATTCCACATAGACATGGCATTATTGTTAGTGTTAGCAAGTATAGGTAGATCAAATATCAAGTCAGCATATGTTGATGGATAAATCAGGTCAATCCAATTTGATGTAAAGTTTATCCTCCAAACGCAATACTACTATATGGTGTTGGCATTTTCCAATGAAGTCTCTATGGCGGGTCATTAATTTTGTTAGGAAATATTGCAGTGGTAATGGAACTGGCAACGTGATTAAAGCGTTCAACAAGGCCGCAAAATGGATCTGTCAGGAGTATGTTTCAACGTCCCCGATTTACACCCAGATACAAACTGTAACTCCTACATAGCCTACAAAACATGTTCTCCTTACCATTTATCGATCCATTTCCACCCATTTGCTGTTCTCTGTTGTTTTTTGTAATTTATTTTGTCACTGTATACTTGTATGTTTGGTGGTGAGGTTAAAATTAGCTATAGTTAGAGTACCTCACCACCATGTCCTGTATTATCCATGTTGAATTGCAAATAAAAAACGTCCCCGCCGTCGGAGACATCTAAAGGCACATTCCACAGAGTGACGGGGTGACCTAGTTCCTCCTAATGCCAGGAAACGGCAATCACGCCGAACCTCGTATCTACCCGGGCAGGTGAGTACACCAGATTATTAACATGTACAGAACATGTACACAATGACTGGTGGACGTACCAACCACTAAGTATCTGATACCAGCCCAGAAAAGAACAAGAAACAGTCATCAACCAAGAATTGAGGTGTTCAAAAGTTTCCAAGAACTATCGTAGTGTGGAACTCGTTGCCATGCATCAAGCACAGTTTTGAACCGCCGAAGGGCGGTTAAACCGACTTTGCCGATACAGATACACCTCTAGATTAACGAGTCTTATCACCTGGTGAGTTTCCACAGAAATGTAATATCGGTGTTTTAGACCGAATGGACTCGATTGATGCAGAATTGGTTACATTCTTGCTGCGGGCGCCTCGTGGAGTATTAAGATGACGTCCGTTAATCACCAGGATCCACTTTTCCCATCCCCAGGAAAGGATGCTTGTCTAAAGATGACTTCCTGGTAAAATCGATATTCTATTAGACAAGCGAGTGGGCGACGTCTTCCCCCTTCACTTTCATCAAATTGACTCTCTTGGATCAATTGTAACATCAATCGTACTCGTTTTCCTTTTAAGATGAATCAAAAAGACACAAAGGCAAACACAAAAGTAAATTTTGAAGCACCCCATAGACATGAAGAAGGTTACCGACTAGTTACCGACGAGTGTTAACAGATTCTGTGTTATCAATAACAAGGTCGCCAAAAAGCAGTTACTCAAGCAACTGGATATGATTTTGGAAACGGTCAGACGTTTCAGCTAGTATCCAATTGTCTTCACTTTATTTGCATATCAATCAATAGGTTGTGCTTATAAACCTGCATTTCCCCTCTGGTCTCACAGTCACTGACGAAAGCTAGTGGATACAAGCTGAAACGTCTGACGTTTTCAAAATCATATCCAGTTGCTTGAGTAACTGCTTTTTGGCGTATCGTATTACCTGGAAGTCTAACCTTCATCGACGTAATCACAAGTTCACTACACAATCTAACAATGACCAATGGCGTCATGTCTTGTGCCCTCATGACCTTCGATCATCCAGGCCAGATACATAATCACGAAACCTCAATATTCAATTTAGGCCTGTACTTGACCGCGCGCCTCCATCATGTTTGCCAATACTTGTCCATTCCCTGCCTGACGGAGCTGCTTGGCACACGTTGTCTAATTATAGGCCATTGGATGGACTATGTCTAATGGTTAATGGTGTCTGATGTGCTTCGCCAGGATTCCGCTGCTTTCTGTACCGGGGGCCAGTGGTGGTCTTGGTCACAATGAGTCACTCTTACTCTTCTCGATATGTGTGCTGGGTTCTTTCTTTAACATGCAGGGTTATAAACTTAGCCGATGGCTCAACTCCCTGGGGTCGTGTGACGTAGAGGCAGAGTGCGCGACTCGGAACTAAGAGTCCCGGGTTCGAGTCCTGACATGCCACCGATCTTGTGCCCTTGGGAAAGGCACTTTAAACGGCTTTCCTCACTTAGCTCAGGTGTAAATGAGTATTATATTGTCCTGTCATGTATTTGTCCCCTGTATTGGTGGCGGCATTAATATAAGTTGAAGAAACTTGAGTGTGTCGTCACCACGTCTGGTGATTACATGTTGGAATGATAATAAAAAAAACTCCCTGGACGATCGGTATTCCATCCGTCCCTCCCGAGTGGTGGGCTCTGGCAAGCTCCCAAAATCTGCTATCCAAAGCCATTATCCACTTGAGCCCTGGGTGTGCCGTTAAGTAAAAGTTGTGGGCCTTGACAAAACGGCCCTTCATGCGTGGGGAGATCGTTCAGCTGCCTTTGATAACTTCAAAGCTGTCTGAATGTCTGACCTCAAGATGACATTGAATCTATTGTCGACCTTTAAAATCAATACTGACGTTCAAGTGCATGGCCAATTGCGCAGTCATTTCGGAGTTTTACTCATGAATACCAGGTCTATATAGCATAATATATAGTACGAATGATGGTATGAGGACTAAACGTATTGACTACGTTGGTCGCAGAACCCCATATATTTTACCAGGAATCTGACCAAAACCTTTAAGCTAATGTGGTAAAAAATTGCTAAACAGTCCCAACTACACAGTTTGTCTAGCTATTCTGGTCATCAGGACCTTCACATGTTACTTCCTTGTCTTGATGGTCTCCGTTAGGGATCATCATCTTTCGCGATATCTGGCAGCATCTACGAGTTGACAGTTAACATGAGGATGGGGCACAATATCAGGCTGGAACTATGTGACATAAATAATTTCCTTCTCACACGCACACTCATTCAGTTTGTCCTATTTTCGTACAATACCAAAGGCGATATGACGAAAGAAAACACATTTGTGTCACGCTTGGAGAACATCTGGGGCAATGTGCGACACATTGCCACATTCCTCCGGCAGATGTATCAATCTTCCGCCCCACGTAGCCACACGATATCCTCTATATAACCTGTGGATGATTCTACCCACGGCCTGGGATCGGTGTGGCGGACTCACCGCAGCCGGGTCGGCAGGCAAGCGGCGTGCTGTAGGTGGGATTTAGGGGATGGCTTATTATAAGCCTTATATACGGCATCATCATCATGTCAGGCTCCCCTCTGAATTGGAGCTGAAGCTTAACGTACATGCTCTAACACAACTGTGAATAACTTCAGACGGAGGGCCTAATGGTAAGGTAGATACTGACCAATAAGAATCACGCGAGACACAATGGACATCGCTATGCCCTACGGACAGGCGCCATTGTCCCGGACAAATGAGAATTTAGTGTGACATTAATATTTGATCTTTATATATGGCAGCGTCCATTTTGGAGTTTTGGTTTATAAAATTTGCATTCTTTCAACGTATTGAATATCAATAGTTCCCTGCCAGGTATCTTATCAATTTGTACTTGTACCAGTCAAATGACCCATACGTCGTAGAATGCAAAATAAGTTACACCTTTTATGCTTCAAATATTTTGTATGCTACTACTTGTTGCAAAGTCGACGAAGGTCTACATAATAAATGCCCATCCAGAACCTACGTTGGAGGTGTCACGGGGGAGGTGATGTATGTGTTTGTGTATCGTGCCGTGTCCATTGCTATCGGCAGAATAGGGTTGTAGGGTTCTGATGCTCTATTACTCTCGGACGCTCGTTGGGATTTTGTGAAGCCTGCGATGAAACAGATGGTACTTATTGTGTGCTACGGCCGGTCATCTGAATCTGTTGCCACCACTGAAGCTTGTAAACCGGGGAAGAGCTCTACATCGGTTGTGTATGTTGCATCGAAATGTACCCACGACTCTTAATGATCTGTAACTCTTGGACACTCGCCGGCATTTTGTGAAGGCTGCGATGTACCAGATGGTATTTAGTGTATGCTACGGCGCGTCATCTGAATCTGTTGCCAGATTGTAAACAGAATTCTACATCGGTTGTATATGTTGCATCGAAGTGTACCCATGACTCTTAATGGTTACGTCCAAATACGGATTTAGAGACGCCCATCAAGATCCTATCCGTAAGCCTGCTCAACAAATAAGGCAACGAGGCGGTCTCGGCTGCTGCACGTGACTAAATCTACAACCCTCCACGATGATGTAGGGAGGAGCTGCTTTCCATATTCACATCGGATAAGGCAGGCATTCAGAACAGACTGGTTCAGACACTTTGGCAGTACCTTCATGATGTGGTCGGCTGGAAGAGACGCCGTCGTCCTGTTGTCGCTGGTCTCCGTTCTCCGGTGCCAGGCCGACACGATCAGTGAGTTTGCGGAGGAAGGCGACGACGACCACAACCACGAAATCCTGCGGGTTCTCCCCTACACGTACAACTGGACTCACAGGCCCAGGATTCCAGGTATGCTTCCAGTGCCTCGTATCAAGCTGGATGGCCAGTCCTAACACTGTAATCACAGTATCAATAAAGCACAAGGAAGTCTGTTTTTCTTTCCGTGTGATGGGCAGTATCTATTTTATCCAGGTCGCGTACAAGTACAGTTTTCCCCGTGCCTCCTGTATTAAGTTAAGCTCGATGGCCCGATTCTATATCATTATGATCATAGTAAGAAGAACTGTGAAGAACTGCCTTTCTTTCCGTATGGTGTGCAGTATGTATTTTATCCAGGTCTCGTACACGTACAGTTTTATGTACCACAAGGCACGTACATGTACAGGGAAATTTCAGAAGAGGAAGGGTATATAGATAGCTACTTAGCCGACAAGAGCGAACAACATAATCTCCAAGCAGATCCCTTTCGGTGGCAAAAAGACAGTATCAAATTGGCCAGGCAGTATCCATTAGCCAGAGAAGGTCGCCGGCCACCGACAAAAAAACCGCCATATATAAAAAGCTAAATGTCATTCCCCCACAACAACCTCTGCCTGAGAGTACGAACAACATGCCCAAAGGATCGATTTCATACATTAGCGTCAGTTACTCATTCTGTACTCATTCTGTGGAGCTCTATAGCTGGGGACCGTTTCCTTTCCGAATCTCACTTAAGTGCCGCAATTACAGTTATGTAGTCTTAAACCCGGCTCTAAACATGTACAGCAGCCAGCATGCAGTATCGACTTTCATATTATGTCGTTCACTGTTTAAGTCAATCCAATACGTAAAAGTGGGCTAATTCTTTGTTAACCTGAAAATGTTGTAAATACAGTCTTTATTCCTTATCGAATGTCTTGCAAGGTCGATAATTACGTATACAAAGTGCGAAACAGCGTTCGACTTTACCAGAATCTTACGTGTACGAGAACCATGTAGTCATCCAACATAGACTGACGATATCTTTGCCACTGCTGAATGTGTCTTTGCTTTATGTTCATTACTGAAATACGTTTTCCCGTTAGGTATTGCTACCTGTAACATGTTAATATCTTAGAAAAAGTTCAGACCAAGACTTCCCGAGCTCGAAGCAGTGACTATGTTCATGTCAGAGCAGAATAGACTGTGCTCTCCCACTTGTAGCGCTCGTACATCGGTAATATGATAAAACCGTCAGGAAGACCGGCTTATCTTCAGAGCTATATCAGTCATACAGTTATGCTTTATCAAAATCTACTTATTTGCACGTAAATTGCATTCCTACTTTATAGAGGGCAGTAAGTCTGCTGGTAAGTTGATAAAGCTCTATACACCAGATAAACCGTCCAGCATTCATGTGCCATACTATAGTTCATAACCTAATATTCTGTACGAGTCATTTACCACTATCAATTTAGATTCTTCAATCCAGGCAATGTTCGTGGAACTTCGTATCTGCGGATGTGGAAATGAGATAACAACTATGACAAACTCTACAAATTGGTTTTGTAGTTGAACTCTCCAAAGAACAGTCCCAGTCCATAATTAAATAAAGCTGGTCATATGCCAATATATCGTGTCCATCCCCGAAGTACATGTATCAGCAATTGAGTTAGCGAGTCAGGCTTCCACATACGTTTTCACATGACTTTGGCAATGGAACAAGTAACAATGACAAATGCCTACAGAAACGTCACCAACTTGAATAGTAATCTCTATTTGTACGTCGCGACATTACTTAATGTCTCGACGTAACGTCATTTATGGGACTTATCTATATATTTATTCATTTATTAGGATGTGGAGCGAATCGTCAATCAAATACGTTGGCTGCTTTTAAATCCCCACTATCAACATTTGTGACGACTTTTAAGTTGTTGTCGTCTTTCATGACTCCAGAATCAGCAACATCAGACCAGTCCCTTGAGTATATCACTCTTGCTGGCCGACAATCGCCTTGACCCCCTCTCTTGACCCTCTGCCTTGGCCCTCTACTGTTTATCATCTATCACACGGTCTTCCCACGGGATCCCCTATAGGGCTAGTAAGTAAGTTCCCACGGGATCCCCTATACATATAGGGCTAGTAAGTAAGTTCCCCCGGGAGATTCCTGCGTGAAAGACCTGATTATCTCGGAGATATACCCCTGATCTCCTGATGTATGCTGCCCGTGGTGTTAATGATAGCAGAAGAGGCTTTATCACAAAGGTACTGTGCGTATGTGCAGCTGGCACCACAGAGAGTGGCAGACAGAAGCTGAAGACCGTTTTAGCAAGACGACAAGAGCCCAAGTAATGATAACAAAAGACGACTTTATCATTACCATTATCATTATCATTAGAAAGCCTTGGACTCTCACAAGAAATCCCGCTTTGATAATTATCATGTATGACGTGTCTCCATTCCCGGGCCCCATTAAGAACACAATTCGCATCATCCTGTATAATGCAGCTTTCATGAACATTAATGTAGACTGAATCTTCAGTGCGTTGCCTTGAGTGGTTAGCAGAAGTCTGCTAAAAGCAAGCCTACCTTCACCTTTATAACTTGATGAGTATAACCTTTAGAATATTCATCATGCGACAAATGGGAAGATGGTTTGAACTATCTTATGTCGGTACAAAAAGTGGGAAATTGAATGACTTAGTGCTGACGTTCCAGACATAACCAGAACTAACAACAAGCTTAAAGCACCATGTAGCCACAGAAATACTAGCCTCTGCCAGGCTTTGGAAGCGACTGGAAAGAGTAGAAATTGGCCAAATCTCAATTCTAGATATCATCCCAGGGGAGTTGGTCCGCTAGAGAATATATTTTGCCTTGTTCTGTAGATTCAAGATTTTCATTTTCTTCTCTATTTCTAAATCAAGCCTAAGGATCTTCGGCCATCAGTTGACCCTATTAAAAAACACCAACAGCGCCTTCCTCTGACCTTGTGCCGCCCCTCCAGCATCTCGGAATGAATATTGAAGGGTAACCTTTAGCCTACAAGAACGGCAGGGAGAAACTGCTGGGAGGATATCTGTTGGTCATCTCTGAATCATTTATGAGGGACGAGTATGAGATTTGAAGGTCACCCAGGCATGGCATGCACCCTTCGTCATTGTTGAGAATAGTGATGAGGAAAGTTCCTGTTACACAGCCACTGTCAATTTCTCACCCAGGCGCTCAGATAGCTGCCTTCATCAGATTGCAATAAGCGACGCTTTTTGCGAAGTGATATGTTATAACTTAATACAACTTACATCATTCTAGCCTCTCTGTTATCCTTTGTTACTCCGCATCCAATCTTGAATTTTAACACCCGAAATGCTAATTATTGCTAACACCTCGCGTGGACGTGCATAGAATATAGCGGTTTAAAAGTGGGGCAATGCCTGGGTAATGACCAGGGTTAGTCGGGCACACCTGTGTACCTTCTGTTGGGACCAATGATGGAGAGGTAGTAAGCCCCGGAAGGAAGGGATATCTAATCCTATACACCTGTCATCAATTAACCAACACAGGTTTTCATCCATGAACACTGCGTGGATTGATTGTTGTAGGTTCAGCTCTTGCAGCTTCTTGCCATGCAAGAAATATTGACAATGACTGTCTAAACAGCCATCATTCTATCGTCAGATGCGGTAGCGGTGATGCAGAAGCGCGTGTTACTGGAAAATTGGTTTTATACGCAACGTGGGGTTGTATTCCCTGTATCGCACACTGATTTGTTGTAGTTTGACAGTGCTTTCACAACTTGCTTTCTCGGCATTTGCCAAAGATACATGACGAGGCTTACTGGTAAAGGCATCTCGCCGCTCATTAAGCGACTTGAAGTCATCGAGAGGGCCAAGGCAAACCTGCAATCAACGGTCTCCTGTTCAATTTTCACTTGATAAGTGCCAAGGCCATATGCCGAGGCCACAGCATCCATCCTAATCTTGGGATCGGTAATCATGTTTGTATAGATTTCTCATTGAGAACATAGTACTCAAGCCTTATACTACACGATAATACAATATTATGCACACAAAGTTGATAACTAAATCAAGAATTGACTAGCTAAGAAATTAAACTAAGAAATCCCGCCATCAGTAGAAGCAAGTCTAGTGAGTAATTGTACGATGTCAAAAGCATGTTCTCCAAAAACAAAAGAATGAGGCAGCAACCGAAGCGTTTCGTAGATTAATCGTTTTGCCACCTGAGTAATACCTGGGAGGTAAATGACTAGCCATTCGCCTGTATCCTACAGTCACACGTTGATGAACAGCTATTAAAACACCTTCTTTCTTTTCATGCCTTACAGGTCGCTGGCTGGATGTGACGCGTGCAGCACACATCCTCAGCTTCGGAGCTGTGTCTGAACAAACTATGGTAAGTCCAATCCTGACAGAGAAGATTAACTTTAATTTGTATCCAGAACCGTGCTTCATCCATAATCATGCTCCGTTCTTGGATACGCAGACACTATCCAGAACCGTGCCTGATCCTAACCCGAATCCATTCAGGCACAAAACTATAGATATGCACGGTCCTGGATACAACAATAACGGCATGAGGAAGGGTTTATCCTTTTAACTAGGCTGTTATTCCCACTCGGCATCATTGTCTACATCAGATACCCGGAGGCTGGCAGGTGTGATCGATAACCAGGCGATACAGGTTAGTGAGCCGTGCTTCCTCCGCCAGGTATTACTTTCTGAGCTAGCGGCACAAGGTCGCGTTATTACGGCATTTGTTTCGTCCAGTAACCCTTTGTGATCGACACGTTCGGATTACTCCGAGATTTTAATGGATCCAGGTCGCCGTTACGGTGTTGGCCTCTGGCTGTATGTTACGCTTGCCCTACATGTATATGCTAACTTTACGGGAACAAGTCGTTAGGTGTTGGCATCTGGCTATATGTTACGCTTGCCCTATCTGCTAACTCTACGAGAACAGGTCATCAGGTGTTGGCATCCCGTTATACGTTATGAGATAAAACTGAATACGGTACGACATGGTCCCAGGCTTGCTCTACTAATACCAAATGGAGGGCAATGTATATTGTTTGCAGTACCCTCTCTACTGCATATAAATTGGAATATCTGACCTTCGTTAGGAGTGAAAGTGTACATCAGCTTCCATGTTTTACTGACAACCACTCCCAACAAAACACCAGCATCTGGTCATAGGGCCATCCTTCAATGTTGAAACGCTGTTCACGACAAGCCAACGAATTTTCGTCAGATATTGGTGCATCAATTGTTAGTTTGGAGTTCTTTTAACGCATTAGTCAGTACCAGTGTGTGTTCCTTCGGGGTATATACTCTATAGAGATGGGAAGAAAAATTGACGTAGAGTTAGATACCTCCATGCCTCAGGAGTAAAGTAGATAGGTATCTCTGCGGAGTAAAAGTTTCCACGAATGTCCCAAATGGTTCGGACTCACTTAAGACATTGAACCATTTTCGTGATGTTGGCATCATGATGGATGTTGATAAGATCCAGTTTTTATGACTGTGGGTAGAGAAACCTGTAAAGGGCCTCTAGACTGATGCGAAACTTCCCCGATGCAATCCCCAATAGACAATCAGTGCGCCAAGGCCACATAACGTGGGAAATACGTGACTGATTGGCGTAACAGCATTTCCTTTATTGTTCAATCTCTGCAGATCAATGGTTATCTAACCGTGACAATGTGTGACTAATCATCTAATTGTGTGTCTAATCAATGTCGGGACCGGTGGGAACTTCAGTAATTGGATAGCATCAAAAGTCTGGATCCTCTTTCAGACATGGAATAATATTAATTGTCGATAAGAAGAAGGGAATCACACGTGCGATAGCGACATGAATCACAATGGCAATGAACGAAGTTTTCTTTTATGGTGCAGGTTTGGGCTCTGGTTCACACTGCTGAGTGAGAACAATGTTTTACATGAAACGCCATCCACCAGTTGTACATGAGCTAAGTTGTATATATTAAGTTAAGTCATGATCGTTTTGTTTAACCTGTATATAATTTGTGATGATTATGTATGTTCATTCTCTTTTATTGTGTTGTCAGTATGTTCATATGTTTATATGTTTTGAACCCTGGAAGACTAGTCGTATTAGACTAAAGGGTATCGAAATAAACGAAAAATGCCACTCGGGACTGAACCATAGACTGACGCAGATGTACCTTACTTGCCATATTTGCCCTGTCGGCGGTCCGAACGGGTGATTGAATTGATGGCGTGCTCCGGTGGAGCCTAATGTGGTTTGGACTTGATTAAGAGACTCTAGCGGCGTTGCTGTCAAATCGATGTCTTGCTCAAAGCTTACAAACCCTGACCTGTCAATACAGATCCTTGTAGACGAGCGTTAGCGCTTCTTTAGAACCAGTAACTGACATCTCACTCCAGATACCAGCCTTTCATTATCTTATCTCCTTACTTCACACTCTGTATTGCCCGTGTCATCATGGGTAGCCATTTAGAATTGACCCGGGTTAGTTGGTCAGCCCGGCAGCTCTGGCATGGCTGCATGACCGTCCTTTATAGTCAGGCCAAAGAACTTATATAAAACCAGCGATGGTTAACGACATCCTTAAACCCTGCCTAAAGATGCCGTGCAGCAATTGATTTCCCTCTTTTAAACTGAATAAAGCTCAGAATCGAGGCACCATCCCAGGCAGTCAGACGGCATCACCCACTAGTGCCCATAATGTCCTTATTACAGACAATTTGATGGGTATATTATTCATTGTCAACTACTAAAAGAGATCATAAAACAGCTTGCCACAGGCCACCGTGTGCGAGAGTTATGAGGCACCATATTTCTAACAAATTGTTTCTCCTATGCCACCGGCGCCAGAAGAATATGCTCCTACTGCCGAAAGCCCTTGGCAAGACGTTCATATCTGCACGTGAGCCTATTTAGTAATCGTCGTATATTTCAGCAACGTTATAGTCTGCGATACACGTCTCACGTATGTGCTGCCACGAACTGGGAATATAGAAGTGAATTACATACGTCTCACTATTCTATGAAATACCACACTGGCATACTAAACCACTGTGCCCTCAAGTAATCTCGCAGTAGTTATGGGGAGTCGGTATAGATAACAACCACTGGATTCCAGGAAACGTAGCGAACGGCTGTCGTTAAATGCATGGTTTCCAACATAACTAACTAGCTTTATGGCCGACAGCTTGCTTCTGATGTGGAACCACGTACCATGTAATCTAATTTTGCTGACTTGATATCAACTATAGCTATGCCTTTCTTGATTAAGTAATAAAACATAATCATAACAGATCAATCACTTTTGGATGTCTTGTGTTATACCATTCTGATGGGTAATTAATAAATATCCGTTAAGACTTAGAATCTGTCTTCATTTGAGCATATGCTCTCCGTCGTGTTGACCTCTGGTCTCCACAGGGATATAACCAGCCCCTTGTGACACCAAGTCCCGACCCTTGTCTCGAGAAAAGCTCATTATCATCAATCACTGTCCAAACGGATCAAACAACTGCACTGGACACAGCAGGGTGCTATCCAAATAAAAACAGGTCGCTTGCACTTGCTTAGTAGGTGGTCATTTAAAATGGTTTTAAAAAGTTAACGGCCCTTAATTTTCTTGATACCCTGTTGATTTTTTACGGATTTTTTTTACGGATTTTTTTTACTGATGTTCAGAAGTGGCAATGATTTCCCTTGGCCCTACTGATGCGGCTTTTCTGTGGCTCCATATTAGTTTATCATCAACGTTAGTGATCCGCAAACGACAGTGTGGGTTTGAGCCGTCTCCACTGCCATGACTGCAGCGATGCATATATGAGATGTACTAAACTGTTCATAACTATCGTGGTGAACAGTTTGCCTGCTTTTCCAGTTGCTCTATATATGCCGGAAAACACACAAGTTGTGCATGTAAATGCACATGGAAACTGATGGAACCCTCAGTTTGTATTTGTGTGTCATCAAGTCGATTTTCCAATAAATACACTATTTTTGATAGGTTGAGTAGTCATCCTTCCGCACACTGCAAAAATCCATCACTTTCTACATCCTAATAATTTCATTACATTTTAAATTAGGTCAATCACAGTAAAAAGCTCCACTTGTTTTTGATGGCATTAATTAATGTAACATGAGAAGGCAATAACTATATGAATAACTAACTACGGTCACTGAGGTGTCACTGATGAGTCCTTCTTACACCTTAAATTGATGAATTCAGAAAAGCATGCAGTGACTCAAAATGTACTTCACAGGTGTCAATAGACATGGAATATAGTTCTTCCGGTTCCTGAAATAAACAGGTACAATCATGAATCAAAGTTGTGGAGCAAACTGCATACTACTCACTAGTCTTCGGTTAGTTTGCCCTTGGAAATGAATTATTTTGTTATGTTTATTGCCATTAGTTTCTAAACAGAACATAAGTGTTCCTAATAATTGTTTTGAAGCAACATCAGTTACTACAGCTACAGGAAATACTGACAATGTTTATGTCCGTAGGACTTCGAGGTTAGCCTGCAGGTGGCGCAGGAATGGCGGGACCACCGCCTGGCGAACCTGACTCAGAACGCCTGGCTCCCCGTGGACGCCGGTGTGCAGATGTGGAGACCTCACGTGGACTTCGCCAACACCAAATCCCTGGACATCGCCACTGCCGAGGAGGAGACGACCATGTGGGTGTCACAGGGAGGCATAGTCAACCTGATCGTCAGGTAAGGGTGGACAATCACCAGAAGAGTTATACTCTCAATCGTAAGCATCTGTTGGGAATAACCCAGCACAAATTTCGTTCCACATCATTTGGTCTCACAATGCTCCATACAAGCTCTCAAGCTCAATCTATTTACCGTCAATGGCACAGTATGCTATTTATATGGACATCCATTTTTCAAAAGCGATTTCAGAGCAGTAAAATTAGATTTACAAAGTCAGTCTAGAGGTCAATGGTTTTTAAATGTAGTTGAATCAACCGTATCTCATAGCATATTGATATATATGTGAGGCAAAAAGCAGTAAATGGCAAGTAAATGACAATATCAGACATTCTTCATTCGCTTTGACGCCCTGAAATTGCACCGAGTGCCTTAAAAGACAAAGTTATGGCCCTGTTTTATTTTTCTCCCAGGTACAACATCAAGGCTTCCTGTCCAATGACTCTGCACGCCTTCCCAATGGATCGTCAGATCTGCCACATCAGGCTGGACGGGTGTATGTACATTATTTATCACTCACTAGATCTTTCATACACCACTTACTTAATGACTCGAAGACAGTTAAGAGCTCCTGGAGGAATTGCCTTTTCCGTTGCCAATACATGGAACCTAATGATGGGCTTTGTGTTGACAAAATATCAACAAGAATAGCCTGACAACGTCCCATTGCCTGTTCATCAACAAGAATAACCTGACAACGTCCCATTGCCTGTTCCCAATGCAATGTAAATGTATCGAAGACAATTACTAGTACCTAAATGACCAGCGAGTTGTTTCGAAAAGTGGGGCGTTGCACCCTCTTTACAACAATCTTCAATGCTGCTCTTGATGAGGTATGTCGTGTGGACCGAGATCTGCTACATTAAGCTACAGAGGATTGTGGCATACGTTTCGACAGTAATTGCTGTTTCCTAGTGGAGCGTACATTCTAGATTCTGGGGACAGAACCTACTGCAACAGCGAAGATGAATAACTTGTTTTTCTCCTCACCTTTTCACAAGTTCCAACTTCCAGTCACACCAGATCACTTACCAGGGCCCGACGGATCTAATTTTCCAGATTTTAGTCACAATCAATTGTGCACAACCTCTGGTAACAAGTAATTAGTTTTCCTCACATTCTTCATCTAATAACGTTAACGGTCCGTGTGCACAGGTACAGTGATGTGAACATCCTTAAGCAAACGCCGCTATGATTTCCAAGTAATATTGATTTTGAGCTGTATTAAGATTACAAGTAGAGCGGATCTCACTTCAGGCTTCAGCGGCTGAAAATTTCCTATTTAATCCTTGCTCCAAACCAAATGCAACAATCAATTAATTCGATTAGTGCATCAGATCAATGTGTAGGGCCATCTGTTTGCAATTTAGCGACTTTTAGGTAACTCGTGAAGCACAGGCCCTTTTCAGCTTCATGAGTGGGAAACAACTACTTACATTTGAGCGTAAAACGTAATGTAAAGGAAAGGAAAATAATTATCATTTGACTTAATTTGATCTACAAAATGATGATCCAACTGCAGCAGGTTGAAGCAATGTGAAAGCATCAGTGTGCTGATACAACTACTGCAAAAAAACAGTCTTGTAGCACATAGATTATGAACAGGGTTTCTCATTGGTGTAAGTTCTTTGGCAATAACTTAAGGTTGTGTGGCACATTGTGTCAGGAATGCCATTGGCTTGCCTAATCTAGTTCCGAACTCATATGGTCTTAGCTACAATGTGAATATACAACGTTAAGGTAGGAACTTGAAGTATTTAGAACCAATTCCACCGGCCGGACCTTCATCCACACTAGAGTTCAGATCTGGAACCAACTCCCTGACACCGTCGTGGGTAACATCAACAACAACGGCCTGCAGTCCTTCAAAGTCAGAGTGCACCGACACCTCCTTCTTTGTGTTTGAGAACATTTGGCAGCTGTGAGCCATTGATTGCCAACTGAATTGTTTCTTACATGTTTATGTACAATCAAGTGGGTATTGCTCACTATAGCACATTATAAAAAAAAATGTCATTGCCTTTCTTTTTGCAGTTGATGACACTCGTCTTGAGTGGGGTTTGGCATCGCTCATGACGATGAACGCTGAACCAGTCATATCCGACGCGACTGCCTTCCACTCTCAGTTCAAGCTAATGGGGATAACTACCAAATCCTACGTCACCTCGTTTCTACCATCTGTTCATGGTAAGCCTACATGTACCTAATCATACCGAGACCTAGTTCCAACAGTTCCTGGAAAACGAAGTAGTTACAGCATTTCTCTCATAGGAATGTCCATTAACCTCATTACAAACAGTGCAAGACAACCTATCCTCATTAGTTTGTTCCCTTAAGGTGTAATTTAGTTACGTGAAGAAACTTAAGTGTCTTGAGTAAAGGTTACTGGAAAGGTCACCGTAGAGGCGGCTAGGTCTTGCGCTAACGCTTTTTGGCACTCGTCCGATCAGCTTATGGGCTACTAGTGATTAGTCGTTAACAACCTCATGGCAAGCGGAAACCAGCTGCAGCATGGAACATGAACGCTGATCATATGTCGAGACAAATATTTACGGTCTGTTCAGATATAATGGCCTGCACTAAGTTTTGCCACAACCACTCATGCAAACTACAAAAGGCGAGCTTTACCTGCATGATGTACAAAATGACTAATAAACTGCTGGACGTACCAACCACTAAGTATCTGATGCCAGCCCAAAAAAAGAACAACAAACAGTCATTCCTTCAAATATCAACCAAGTTTACCTTATTTATTCGGCTAAAGCAAATCTAACCACAGGCGCTAGGCCACCGAGTTTTTGTTGAGATCTAACAATACATGTAACGTTACATTGTTTTGTAAACCATTAAATAAAATCCTTATTATTGTTTCGCGCATGTTAGAACATACACTGTGTCTACTCATTCAGCCCGTTGCCATCACAATACAGTGGTCCGTTGAAATATTCCCAAAAATCATACAGTCACATAAAACATAACACCGTGAACACGGCCCGTTGAAAGGTTCCCTAGAATCATACGTACACTGAACACGGTCACAAACTGATGAGGATTCCAAAGAACCATACGAACAGATACCGAAGTCTCCCGAAGATTGCCGAGAGCCGAACAGCGACTTCCGAACGCTTCATCTTGGTTAGGTACTTAGTACTAGTATACACTAGGTGCGAAATGCCATTTCAAAAGACCCTATTTTCTGCGAAATGCCATAAGGAAAATAAAAGTCTTGATACTATCTATAATCAAGGGGTAACTAAGTAGCCATGTAAACTTTTTGGGGGTATGATACCATATTTTAAAGAAGATATGAAGCATTTTGTAAAGTCCAATTTCCGGCGAACTGCGTTACCAGGTCGCTGCTGTACAGGTCAATGACATCATCGCTAGCCAATCAGACGCACGATAGGCCCACATTTCCCGCGCGGTTCTAAAATGTAAACGCACACAACTGGCTACATCACCCGACAAGAGTCTTGACATGCTATGTGTAAATGTACTCTAAACACGTCCACAAACCCCACCGACATGTTTTCAGTTCTACATATGTTTCCCAGGCATGAGATTTGGAAAGTGTAGTTGTGCCCAATATCTCTAAAATGTACTATATCGTTGTTTTCTGAGTCTGGGGAGGCAGGGACTTCACACCGAACGTGATTCTAAGTCACATTTTTGCTGCCACCCCAGTTGGTAACGCAGTTCACGGGTAGGTGTTTCCTACCCTGTCATCTTTTTGAAGTTATCACCGCTAGCGCTAGCCCCGGCTTGGGGTTCTATCGAGTCGAGCAGCGGTTTTGCGAACGCATTCGAGTTTGCGAAACCTGTTCTATTCCCGTCGGCCTTTGCGCTACCCTGAACGCCAATGTAACAGCTGAGTAATGAGTGTGCTTTTTATTGTATGATTCAGCGGACCAAGTACCCAGCAGTATGTATTATATCTGTATGGTTCATTGTACAGAGAATTCTAGGGAAATTTTTCAACGGACCGTGTTCACGGTGTTATGCGATGAGTGTATGATTCTCGGGAATCTTTCGACGGACAGTGTTCACGGTGTTGAGTGTTGAGTTCATGACTCTTCGGATCCTTTCAACGGACCGTGTTCATAGTGTTTGTGTTCAGTGTATGATTATCGGGAATCTTAAGCTTGTACGGAGTGCACAGTATACGAGTGTTCATAAAACAAAGCAACAGCGATCTCAACAAAAACTCGGTGGCCTATCGCCCATGATCTAACCACGTGTATATATATTGCAGGAAAAGGCTGCACGTTCTCCGAACAAACTTGTGATTACGCCGACTCTGACACCTGTCAGGCCAACACGAAGCTGTGCGCAGACGACGCCGGGTCAGCGGAGTGTGACAAGTGTCTGTATTACACGGGAACATGTGCTAACACCACCAAACAGTGCGAGCTGTTGGAGAAGGGTTGGATTCTTGACTGTTTCTTGATGCAGTGTGAATTGTTTCGTTGTGTATTGAACAACCCTGTGAAAATCAATCTCTCACATTAAGCACAACCGTTGCTGTGTCAACGTTATTAGCTAGTATAGGGGCTACTACCTCAAGCCAAGTCTTAATTAATACAGATGGTACTTGTCTAGTTATTGGAAAAAGAACACGAAACACCAGGCACTTCTTTTAACCCGTATCAACAGCCATTATGTCTGTATAAGGAGAGCCACTCCTTGAGCATGTTAAAGATCTCACCACACTTGTCGAAGAGCAGGGGTCCTTCCCGATGTGAGCGGTTGAAACCTTACAATCTGGTCTCAGGTTTGACATCTTGAAAACGTGATAGTCACCTGTTATGTGAATCCTTCCAGGCTTCCACAAATGTGGTTAATTCTTCACAAAATCTTCTGCAATACTTCCTTGTCAGAATTCCTCATACAGTTGTTTGATATATGTCACAGGTGACAAGAGCACGTACACGTCATTAGAGATCCAGTTTCACCTGTCCAGGAGGTTCGCCTACCACCTGATGCAGATGTACGTCCCCTCCACCTTCATAGTCATCATGTCATGGATCTCCTTCTGGATCGAGATCGGTGAGTTTATAACTACTTAAGAGTATGTAATGATGGAACAGCTGGAAGGACAAATTCCTTCAAATAGCAAAAAAAAACCCAACAACACATCGGCACTTGGCTGCCACAGACTTTTGTTTGTTTATGTGTTTATGTGAATAAACCAGTCATCATCATCATCATCACTATCCCAAACAAAACCATCAAAGTGACCTGCAGACCCCATAAACCCTGGATAACCAGACATGATCCAGCAGAAAACGGACCTGTACCGGGCTTACAAGTCTGCCCCTAGTTTATAACTTAAGGACCGACGAGAAAGAGACAGTCAAAAAGTGGATGATAAGAAGAGGAAGGTAGTAGAAGTGATGTAGAGATCCAGTGACAAGGAACTGAACGTACTGTGCACAAACACACTCAGATAACGACAAACAAGTACAGAGAGCAAGTACGACCAAAGATAGTCAAATGAAATATTTGTCCTTCTTGTACCAGGCGCGGTTCCGGCCCGAGTCTGCCTGGGCGTCCTGACAGTTCTGACCATGACGACCCAGAGTTCGCGCAGCCACGCCATGCAGGAGGTCTCGTACGTCCGAGCCATCGACATCTGGATCGCCGCCTGCCAGCTCTTCGTCTTCTCTGCCTTAGTCGAATACGCCGTAGCGTACAGATGCTGGCTTGCACAGAAGAACGACAGGCGTGCTATCATAACCATGGTTTGTAGGCTTTGTGGTTACCATGTGCCATTTAATCTCCAAGCAGATCCCGTTCGGTGGCAAAGACAGTATCCATTAGCCAGAGAAGATCACCGATTGATGGGGGTAGCGACAAAACAGGCCATATATAAAAAGCTATCAATCAAGACCCCACAACCTCTGCTTGGAGAGTATTGCCATTGTGTGAAAGTATTGTGTGACTTTTGTACTGACGTATTCCATGCTGAGGACCACAGGAAGAGTAGCTAACAGAAACGTCAAGCGAATCGTGGATCTAAATTAAGTCCGTTTACCATCTGGGCGTTACTATAAGAGCGTGAGCCAATAGCAGTTGTCACGTATATGGGCCGCCTTTCAAAAAACACTTAAGATCTATAAGCACTGATACTAAATATCCTGCTATCCCTGCGATCCTAAATAACTCGCATCTGTTATACCTTAAAGATAAAAATCAATGATTTTCTCTTTCCACTTTCCTTCATTAATACCTTTTCATGTAATATCCCGTTATAATCTACAGGAAACTACCAAGCTGACGGAAAACGGTACGTCACCAGAGCACCAGCCAATAGAAATCAACGGCGCGGATGAAAAGTGCAACGGTTGCAACTTCTTCCCTGCCCAGAACATCGACCGAGCGTGCAGGATGGTGTTCCCTTCGCTGTTCGTCTTGTTCAACGTGACATATTGGACCTTCTATTTGCTGTGTACACCGTGATACACTGGTGCACCTGGTGCCTTGAAGAGATCACTGAAGAGTGGAA